CCAAACATGAGACTTTGAGGGGTCATTTTAGATCTAAACCATAACAGAGGCTGAGGGCATAGCTCACTGGTGGATCATATGTTTAGCTTGACCCAGGCCTTGGGTTTGTGCCCAACAGCGCTTGCGCACATGCCCCCCTCCATGTGCACAGGCAGGCATGTGCATACACACACACACACACACACACACACACACACACACACACACACACAGAACCCTAATGAGTGGAAGGAAGAAAGAGTTATTTCCTAATTAACACAAGTGAAAAACCCTAAGTATACAGCAGACCAAATGCAGGAAAAAAATTACAAGTAATAAAATAGGAATTACATTTTATCAGAGAAAAAAACTGTTGTTTGAATACTAAACAATCAGTTGCCTCTGCCATCTGTTTTCCACTGCAGCTACAGGAAGCCTGTTAAAAACTGAGCCACAGGCCCATCTCCTCAGCCTTCTATTCAGATGGTTCCACAAATACAAGTTTAGCCACACATCCAGACATGCTGTTTCTCCTGCAGAATCCTGACCCTTCTTCACTTCCTCCCCCTGGGTTCCATAAATGGGACAGGCCCCATATAATCCCCAGCCTCCTTTCAGAACCTTAGCCAAGAATGACTCACTGCTGGGAGCCCTGAACCCAAACGCAGGCCTAGTCCCAGGGCGGTACCACTCTGTAGATCGCCTACACGAGAAAGGGGGTCTAGGCAAGGCCTTCCAGCCCTCAGGATCGCCAGCTTAATGGACCGACCAGCCCTGGGTGGGAGATGACCTCTACCCTGTGAATCTTTTTTCTTCTTGTAGAATAAGGCCCAGGGCATGGCCCACAGAGGCCTGGAGAACAGAGGGCCTAGTAATGTGCACAGACTGGTCGCTCTGCATTTCTTCGCGAGGTGGGGGTGTCTACCTAAAGCTACGAATGAGAGACCACTAAGGTCGGGGCTTTGCCCAGGTGCCCACAGGAACTATGTGGTCGGGGAAGACACGGGATGAGGCTGCATGTGAGAACCCTCCGCACGCTCTCCTTTCTGCAAGTCCCCGGCAGCGACAGTGTGTCTTCTGCGCCTCCCACTCAAGGTAGCCCGGGGCTGGGAGGGCTGGGAGGGCTGGACAGTGACGGGCAGGGACCTGAAGGCGGGTCTAGCTGCTTTCCCCAGCTCCTTATTCCCGCTCACTTGCCGAGAGCCGCCTATGTCTGTTTTATTCTTTTTTTTTTTAACTGCAAAGAAAATGAAATTATTTTTTAAAAGTTTCAATTCTTACCTACATGTCAAAACAAAATGTTTTCAACCAGGCAAGGTGGTACAACCTGTCATCCTAGCACTCTGAAAGACTGAGGCATGAGAATTGGAATTTTTTAGCCTGACTGGGACAGTTTAGTGATTCAGTGAGACCCTGTCTGAAGATTAAAAAAAAAAATCATTTGGGCATGTAGCTCAGTGCAAAGGCCCTGTGTTCAATCCCCGGTACCACCAGCGCCCCCCTCCCCCGTTTTTTTTTCCTAAGCACAGCTGAGATGGCAAAACAGAACTTTTTAACATATCACACAATTTTGGAGTAGTTCTTTAATGGAGAGCTGACCTCTAGTCATGCTTTCTCTGATTTTAATATATCATTCTGCATTGGTCTTTGATTCAGAATGAATTCAACTTCTTAGTATCGCCAAGTGCCATAAATTGGGTGAGCTTTAAATATGTAATGGCTTTCATTTTAATGATTGCTAGAGCTTTTAGCAGTAAAAGGGGGAGAATGAAAGAGAACTATCACAGATTTCTTGCCTAAAAGGAGTGTTCTGGTAAGATTAAAAGTGGAGACAAGCTAAGCCCTGAGTTATGGATCTGAAGGTCACAGCCAGCATCAGAAAATCACAGCACTAGTGGAAGAAAAGACAAAGTGCTGATGGTAATGCCGTCGAAGGGGCTCACTTGCAAAGGCTGTCCCTTCACCAGAGGGTTGTTTTCTTTTGGGGTGGGAAGTGTACTATGTAAGGAAATTGCAGTCAGACATCCAAGGGGAAAAGTCTTCTGTTTTTAAATTATTAAGTATGCCCAGGAGGCTGAGCCAGGAGCATCACCAGGAGACCTACTCAGTGAGTTCAAGGCCGCCCTGAACTACGTAGTGAGACCCTATCTCCAAAAAAAACCCCCAAATTATGAAGTATGTCATATCTATAAAAACAGGTAGGCCAGTCTTGGTGGCACAGGCCTGTAATCTCAGCACTCAGAGGCTGAAGCAGGAGGATTGGAGGCTGAGGCAGGAGGATTGCTGTGAGTTTGAGGCCAGTCTGGGTTATAGAGTGAGTTCAAGGCCAGCATGAACTGCGTAGTGAAACCCTGTCTCAAAAAAAGATAAAAACAAAGAAACAAACAAAACCAAGTTGGAGTAATGAATGTGCTTAGCCTGAGAAATTAAATACTAATTGCTGCACCCAAATACCCTTCGTCCATCCTATTTCTTGTCCTCTGATTTTGCGATTATCATCCATGCGTGTGTTTATTCTTTTGCTCTATGTGTATGTGTCTATACATGTGTGTGTTTGTATATCTATAAATCTTATGTAGTATTAGAAGCATGTTTTAAGCCCTTATTTAGAAGGTACTATGCTGTACATATCCTGCAGTTTGTTCTTTTTAATACTTTGAAAATATTTGCTTGGTATGCGTGGTTCTGCTTTATTCATTTTTTTAACTATGTAGCATTTCTGTCTCTATTCCATCTATTTAATCATTCTCCTGTTGATTGAATATTTTGAGGGACAGGGAAGAGGACTGTATTATGTCATTTTTAAAGTTAGACTAAGGAATGTTGTTTTGACTTCCAAGGTGCAATGCCCTCGTTTATGCTGTTCCCGGGAAAACCCTTAGCACTTCCCCAGTGACAGCAAAGGAGGTCATGTTTCATTGCACAGACGAGCGAACGTGCTTTGTGTAAAATGCAGAGCAGTGTCTGCTGTAACACAGTGCGCTCAGAAGGGACTCAGTTGCTGCAGCAGAAGCATGGTTTACTCTGCTAAAACCCTCAGATTTTCCAAGTGCTGACACACTGTGGATGGAAACTTGTTGGCGTTAATTCATAGTTTCTTTCTGTGTGTTTGGAATTATCTGCAGTTTGGAGACTTTTATTTGTAAAAGGCAATGTGCCTTTTATGGTAAAGAAAACATTGCTGTTGAATTTTGTCTTGGTTTTATGGAGCATGCAGAGAAAAATGAGGTCTGTGAATCAAGGGGTGTGTGTGTGCATGCATTGAGACAGATAATTGGTGTGAAATAAATATTTGCTTTAATAATAAACTTTTCTCATAACCTATGTACTGTATATTCTTACTTCGTAGTCATTGTTTAAAAAGAAAAATCTCTGATAAATTTGTTATGTTCCTCAATTTCATGCTGTTTTGTTTCATTTGTAGCACCCTTGGTAAGGTTTGATATTTCTACAGAACACACAGTGCAGACCTTCACTTAGGTTGCCCCTCCGAATGATGTGCTGTGTAGTGCGTTAGCTAGAAATGCTGAAGTAGCAAGGGAAACACGGAGAGATGGTATGCTTTCCAGGGACAGTAGCTAAGGAAAGGCAGCACAAGCCAAAATTAAGAGGAAAATGTTACTTAGGCACTCAAGATGTAGTCTGGCCAGATATGCTATTAACAGTATCTCATTCTAATTAAATTAACTGGGACCTGAGCAGTGTGAGCCACTAGATCGTCTATTAAAAAGAGTGATCAGTTTTAAGCGTATTAGAATTAAGGGTCTTGTAAGTGTAATCTTTTGCTTAACACTTGTTTAGAATGAAATATTATCGTTGCCTGTTTTTATTTGATAGATTATAGAGCCTCAAGGATAATAAAAAATCAGCAGCTTGTTCGTTTCTTCCACGGTTCTGAGGGAAAAAGAAAGATCTTTAGTAAAGGAAGAGTTTTAAATTTTTTTTGTGGAAAGGAAGAAAATGATTAAGATAGTTAAGAATGATTTTTGTTTTTTCACTGTTTTTCTTGCTAACCACACAATTATGTGTTACTCATTCCCAGTGTAGATTTGGAGAGAGGAGGAGGTGATATGGGAAAGGGCTTCTATTTTTTTTTTTTTTTTTTCTTGTTTTGGAATGATCTCTAGTTATTTTCACACAGATCCCTTATTCCAGAGAGTTGTGTGGCAAAACAGATTAACTGCATTGATTGATTTTTGGCAATGCTGTGGCTCAGACCCAGGACCCTGTGCATGCTTGATGAATGCCCTATGACTGAGCTGCACCCGAGGTCCCCTCCCCACCGCTTTTAACGCATTGAAGTTTTCTAAGTTCTGTTTGGAACTTCTGTTGTCAAAATCCCCTTTGACAAAAAATAATTTCTATTTCCTCATTGCTTATTATTATTATTATTATTTTTTCTTTTTCCTGTACCGGGAATCGAATTCATGACCTTGCGCTTGCCAGGCAGGCGCTGTGCTACTGAGCTAAATCCCCAGCCCCTATTATTATTTTTTGTTGTTGATTTCAGAAGCACAGAGACAGGATAAAAAAAAAAAATTTCTCCCTTTAAAAATATTTCTAGCCGGGGACATAGCTCAGCGGCGCAAGTGCCTGCCTGGCAAGTGCAAGGTCCAGAGTTGAATTCCTGGTACCAAAAAATAAATAAATAAATGAAAATAAAAGTATTTCTAAAAGCAGTGGTTTATGAATTGTTCAAGATCCTAATTTTTACGTCTTTTTGAGTTTACCATATGGTAATCAAAGATTTACTACTCTTCTGAAGTAACACATATTACAAAGTTTTTCAAAAATCAGTCTAAAAAATCCATCTAAATTTATTCTAGGTTACAATTCATGTTCTTCAAAAAGTACCCTCATGTTGCAAGGGTTGCTGTAATCACTAGCAGCTAAGAATGACATAAACAGATCTTCTGAGACTTTCTTTTCTTGTCTGGCGTTATGTCCTGAGGTACCCATGTGCGCAGGCTCCTGAGGGCCTTTCCTTTTGACATTGATTTTACTCTTTTCTGTCCCTTTAGGTCTTTCTCTACCATTCCTACAGTGGTTGCGAGGTACCGTTTCTTCCTCACTCTGCATGTACCATGCCAGTGACATCTTAGCTGCTAGAGTGTGGAGCTGGCCTGTGGGAGTCAAGTAAGTGCCTTTTTTACTATTTCGCATGGTTTTTGCTTACTTTGCAAAGCCATGTAGAGAAACTTCGTAAGATTAGTTTTTAAAAAGGCACTTGCTTGATCCTTGTGGGCTGGCTCTTTGCTCCAGTCTGCTGTTGAACACCTGGTAGCTAACGTGGGGCTGAATTTTGTGAGGCGACTGTTGGAGGATAGAACATTTTTACTAGGGTAGACATGAAGGGATGATAGATTTGAACTTGGCCCAAGCAGTCGTACTGGTGAACAACCCCTGTCCCATCCCAGAGTAAATGAGAACTGTTAGCTCAGACAGGTTACCCTGGTCTTGTGGAAATTTAACAGGTTATGGAGTACCAAAAATGTGCTAGTCTAATCCAGTAGAGTTACATGAAAACAGAAGAGCTCTTCAAGGAAAACCAATGACTTTGACATTTATCTTACTTGACTTAATTGATGGATACAGTGAGAGTAGTGGTTGACATTTATCAGGTTTGGGCTTTTGCGTTTATTACTGAAGTTGCTAAAACTGGTATTTTACTTTTGCAGGTCATCTTATAAATTTTGCCTATATAAATTAACACATCCCCTGTTATATAATAACAACCATGTAAGGGAGAGTGTTTTCCTGCTCTGTCTTAGGTATTGATGGTGTGACCTGTTCACGCAGGGGAAACTTGAACATTTACAGGTATGTGAAGATCATGATTCATAAGCGTTTTTTTCCCCTGCAAACTAGTTTATGTTGCTGTGAAATTACAATGTGGTTTTATAAAATTTATCTTTCCAGTTGACTTTATTTTCCCCTGTTACTATAAAATAAGGCCGGGAAACTATGGCCTCGATTGCTGCTTGCTTTTATAAATAAATTGCTATAAAAACACAGATCCATTCATTTATATATTGTTCATGGCTGCTCTTGTACTATAAGGAGATAGAGGAGTTGTTATTATAGAGACTATATAGTTCAGAAACCTAAAGTACCTTTTATCTGGCTCTTTAATAAGAAGTTTGTCAATTCTCCTGTACAAGAACCAAAATGCAAATTTTATTTAGCTATAATCTTGCTAGAGCCACAGTTGGTTTCAAATTGGCTTCTAAAGAGAAAAGAGGGGCTGGGGATTTAGCTCAGCGGCAAAAGCGCCTTCCTGGCAAGTGCAAGGTCGTGAGTTCAGTTCCCGGTACCGGAGAAAAACCAAAAAATAAAGAGAAAAGAACAACGCCTAGATCTATGTAAAAATGTTGCTGACTAGCAAATAAATATTTTTACACACACACATACACACACACACAGTGATATCTCGGTTCACGAGTTCAGTTCTTCCCACGATTTTGATCGCAAACCGAACTGGACGAGAACTGAAATCATCAGATTTCTTCATAATGTCAACATAGAACCTGACCACTGAATTTGATCATATATGGTATGATTATTAATCCAAGGAAAAGGGAACAGAAAGCTATGGTGGCAGCAGGATATTATTATTTTTTAGATTTTCTAAGGGTTTTACAAGAAGATTTAACTAGAATATCTGGTACAGCCAAGAAGTGAAAATAAAAGGTCCTCCTGATTCTTTGATATAGTATAGCCTTGTTTAAGGATGAGAGGGCAAACTGTTGTGGAACTGAAGCTAGAGGCTAGGTCTCCTCCTCCTTGTCCAGGGTTCCTTTTATTAGGTTTCATATTGTGTTAGTGGCTGCTTTTTCTCTCAGCGAGCTGAAAGACAGTGCAGTTCTTTTCCTGCAAAGACTTGATGATTTCAACTACAAAGATACAATTGTTGGAATGCTGGCCTTACTTGGAATTTTGGTTGAAGATTACTGGGGAGATTGCTTCTTAGTGAATCACTACAGTGTATACGCAAAAAGGTTAAATTAGATGGAATAAAACAAGTCTGATCCTTGGTCATAATTTTATAGCTAGGGTAAAACTAAAAATCAGCATCGATAGAATGTTTCTCCTTGGAGGCTAGGGATTTAGCTCAGCGGCACGGTGCCTGCCTGGCAAGTGCAAGGTTGTGAGTTCAATTCCTGGGACCGGAAAAAAAAATGAAAAAAAAAAACAAAAAAAAAAAACCAAAAAAGAATGTTTCTCCTGATATATCTTTGTATCCAACCCCATAGGTGAGGGGGGAGCTTTTACTGTGTATCTGGATTGCATTCTCAAGAATTTAGCTACCAAAAAAAAAAAAAAAAAGAATTTAGCAAGTACATTGCAATCTGCAGATTATGTTGCATAGTTTTAAGTCAACATTTAAAAATAAACTTTGTTTTAGAACAATCTTAGGCTTAAGGATAAACGCAAAGATAGTATACAGAGTTCCCAAGTATCCCCTTCCCCTGCCTTTTCTATTATGTGCATATTACATCACTGTGGCATATTGGTTGCAATTAATAAACCAGTGTTGATGTATTTTTATCAGCTAAATCCATACTTTATTTAGATTTCCGAAGTTTCTTTTTTTTGTGGCTATTCTGTTTCTGGATTAAATACTTTTTTGGTTTTTTTTTAGGTTTTGTTCTGAGAGTTGATAAATGAAACTTTATTAGCATGTTCATTAAGGTAGAAGGCATTTATATGATTACCTGAAGGAAAGAATTCTGTAGTTCTGAAGTTCTTGTGTTTCCAAATTTAAAAATATATATATATTTATTTTTGTTGTTGGTACTGAGGATTGAATCCCAGGTCTTTGCACTGAACTACACATCCCTAGCCTTTTTCTTATTTTGCTATGGAGACTTGCTTAGTTGATAAATTGCCCAGGCTCAGCTGGAATTTGCAGTTCTCCTGCCCCAGCCTCCTAGAGTGCTGGGATTACAAATTAGAACTTTGCATCAGGTAAACTTGTACTCTTTTATTAATCAGTTTCCAAGATTCTGATTAAGAATACAGGCTTACCTGATGCAAAGTTTTGACTTGGAACACTTATATTCTGTAACATGTTGAAAAGTCGTGCTTTACCTTGTTAATAATAGTAATGGCTCTTCAATTATTTGTGAATTTTAGCATCAGCAATTCCAGAAATGATGAGGCACACTTCTTACTTCTAAGTGATATTAAGTGTCACAGGCCAGATTGCCAATAAAAATATTCTAAAGTTAATTGCCTTCTTTGGGAACCATGAGCATGACCTATCCTCCTTCAGTATACTTTTGTCTCTGAAAGTACTGGTTTTGGAAGGGAGCACTTTCTAGTGAATCATACGTCATTGTCACCTCAGTATAAATACCCTAAAATATGTCTTTTTAAAAAATTCTTTATTTACTAGTGTCAAACACATGCATGCCCTATGACTCAGCAGTTCCACTGCTAGATGTGTACACAACAGAATTGTGTGTATATAGTCACCAGAACACGGACAAAAATGACTATGGTGGGACTAACAGTCCAAGTTGGAATTCTCCAACTGCCTATCAATATTTGAAATGAGTAAATTTTGACACAGTTACAAGGAATATTAAAAATGGCTAGAATGAAAAAACTACAATTACATATAAAAATTTGTGATTTTCACAAATACAATGTTGAACAGAAGCCAGATATTAATCATGCTTGGTCTGATTTTATTTACATAAGTTTAAAAAAACGGATAAAATTAACTGATATCAGAAGTCAGGAGATTGATTTTCCTTGTGGACATTAGGCGAATTGTTTGGAACAGGATATGAAGGGGCTTATGGGATGCTAATTTTTTTTCCTGGTTTAGGTACTGATTACATGGGTGTGTTTGCCTTGTAAAGAACAAGCATATATACTTTTCATGTGAGTGTTATTCAAGGAAAAAAGTATACAAAAATGCTAATAGAATTCACAATTAAAAAACAAAATTTCACTGCAGGCACTTAAGGGATATGGGGAGAATAAGCTGAATGAGTTAACCTTGTGTATTAGAAAAATGGAGTCCATTACAGGGCTATGAAGGATGCCATTGTGTTACTGGAGCATTACAGTCCCATTTACATTGTAAGATGAATAGAGTAGGTGGCATTAGTGGCTTCTTTTTATTGTCCCCAGGTTTTGGGGCTGCTTCAGAAGAGGATATCTTTTCTTCTTGGTCTCTGTTAAGCAGCGTCACCAAGTCAGAATGTGTGTTCATTCTTATGATGGCAAAGACTGATACATGGTTGCGGGGTGGGTGTATGGAGTGTGTTAATGTGTGGTGGTGCGTTCTCCTTCCTACTGATATTTTGTTATGCAGTGTGTATGCTTCAGTTTCACCTCTCTGCTTACCTCACGTGCTCTTTTGGCTTTCAAAGCATCACTTCCCACCTAACCCAAATGTAGAGTCCTTTTCCCAAATGGAGACCTTTTGTGACCTTCTTACAGGTACCTTTGGTCTCCCCAGTTATTTGTGTTAAAATTAATTTTGACTTTTCCCTTTTCTATGTAGTCCTTTCCTACCACCTTTTTTTAAAAAATTGTGATAAAATACACACAGCATAAACTTTGCCATCTTAACTTTTTTTTATCTTAACTATTTATTAAATGTACAGTTCATTATCTTACCTTTTTATTTAATAGCTAAATCCTAGTTGGAGTCTCCTTTCTTATCTTGCTTGCCTTGCATTTTACATTCCTATTATCAACGCTCTCCCCTTGTTTTGATTCTTACAGTGTGCCTGGCTGTTCGCTTAAATAGAGTTTTAACTTTCATTGTTTTCTCTGCAGTCAGTTCCCTCTCCTTGTACATCGTTCTGCCAGGTTTGTCTACATCGGGGCTAAGGACGTGGCTCAGTGGCAGAGTACTTGCCTGGCATGACAAGGCTCTGGGATCAACCTGTAGGATCACAAAAATAAAAACGAAGAAAATAAAACCTTATTATCACATTCTTAACACAAAGGTTCACTACTAACTATAGAATTTAATGCACATTGAACTGATATTTAAGTCCTTCTAAAATTGAATTCCAATTTATTTTTTCTTCCTTAATGATTTTTTTGGGGGGTACTGGGAGTTAAACTCAGGACCTTGAGTTTTCCAGGCAGGCACTGTGCCACTGATCCATATCCCCAGCTCAGTGACAATGTTTTTGATAACCAGTGACTGCTTACTATCTTCCAGGTTCCGTGTAGTAATGTATGGCATTATTTAGTTTTTTCTGAACAGTCTTTTAAACAGACTGAGGAATCAGAGTCAGGAACGTTCTAAATAACTTACCCAGACTAGTAAGTGATGGGTGGAATTAGGAGTTTAATATATCTCTGCGTACTCCATGCTCTTAGATTGCTGCAGACAGAATCCAGGGGCTCCTGCAGGCGAGGCAATAGCTCTGCCTCTGAAGAGCATCTCCAGCTTATGCCCCCACCCCCAGGCTGGTCTTGAACTTGAGACCCTCCTGCCTCAGACTCCCATGTAGCTGGGGTTATAGGTTCATATAACAGTTCTTGGCTTCTCCTCATGCTTTTGAATACCTTGAATAGGGTACTTCCAAACTACCATGTGCCCTCCCACTGTTACCTGAATTTTTTCACTTCATAGATCCTCTCCTTAGCAGGCCCTTACTTATTTCTTTCATCCTCCTTATAGTCTCCCTCTATGAAGACCCTTCTGGTCAGTGATTTCTCTCCTCTTTTCCCCAGTTCCCAGAATACTCAGCCCTAGCTCATGATTTCATTTTTTTTTATTTTTTTATTTTTTGGTTTTTTTCCGGTACTGGGGATCGAACTCACGACCTTGCGCTTGCCGGGCA